GAATGTTATATGTTAGTTGACGGTTTTCTACCAAAAGGTGCGCTGCTCTTTTTTTTCTTCTTTTGATTCATTTCTTTTGTTACATTGGTTTTTATTGCTTTGTAGTATTTGATCCAGAATCTTCTGGAATTGGGCAACTTTCATAAATAAAATAACCTCATACTTAGCTAATTTATTTCAGTACGGTATTCTTGTTGCAGTGTCCATATGAGCCTACACTTACATGTACAGTATATACTTACCATGGTGAGCAACAGTTTGAGAATTTCTTAAATCTCTGTGTAATTCTGCAATACTGTGATCTGCAGTGTAACCTGATCTTTATCTAAAAAAATAACATTTCCATGAGTCCCTGACCAAGATCACAATAACTGTTCTTGCCAAAGGGAGTCAATCTTTATCAGTTTTGCAATTCTGGAAAGAACAGACCCTGATCTATTGCAGCAAGAAAAAAATTGTTCTAAAATTGTTCCAATCTTACCTCAATAATTTTCTAGAAGGTATGCACTGTACAAATAACATTTTCACTTAAGTCTTTCAATTAATCTATTTTGTGAGGAATGGTTAGTGCCAAAAACTGCTGAACAGTTTAAACATTTCTGCACTTAGTAATTGTGTCTCAAGATACTTGTCACTGACAAGATATATCTTAATTAAAAGGCAACATTGCTGAGAAGATAGATTAGGTCAACAAAACTGCACAAAACAGTGTGTGTGTGAACGGAGTCCTAATATACAGCAGCAGAGGTTGGAATCCACTGTTATAGCCTTTCATTAACAAATCTAGAAGTCAAAGAACAATTAACAACCCTAGAAACATGATATAGTACTCTAATATATGCAGCTGAGTCTTACAATTCAACTTTCTCTAAAATCTTGTTCTTCAGAACTGCAGCAGTATCTTCATAATTACTTCAGTTCTACTGAAAATCATGCATGCTTTTACAAACTGCATGGAGCCCTCATTTTCCAAACCCCAGAACTATTAAATGAGCCAAAAATATGAATTCCTAAAATACAAATTGAACGAATGTCAACTAACAGCTATTATGGCACTACACTCAGGCTTGAAATACATAACCAAAAATTATATGAAATTCTATTAAAAGCTGGTGATAGAAATACCGCTCTTCATCCAAGTTGAGTCCTAGCTACAGACATTTCTGGGGAGTCTCAAGTTTAATTTCTGAGGAAAATGAGTAATAATAGCTCATGACATTTCAGCAAACAAAGTAAAAATAAAAGAGTATATGCAGCAGGATATTTAAGTTTTTAAAAAATTATCTCTACGTTTTTCAAGTTTTGTATGTACAGCTGAAAGTTAGATCTCTTTCATACAACCCTGGTTCTTAGTTAAGTCTTTTAAATTATAAAGATAAAAGTCTACAGATTTACTAAACACTGCACCAAATCAAGTAAGTTTTTGTAAATTTGCCACACAGTGAATGCAGGGAGTTCTTGACTTACAACCGTGGTTTAGTGACCATTTGAAGTTACAATGGCACTCAAAAAAAGTGACTTGTGACTCTTTTTCATACTGACGGGCGCTGCAGCATCTCTGTCTTGTATTTATGACGGTTGCAGTGTCCCAGGGTCATGTGATCACCTTTTGCAACCTTCTGACAAGCAACGTCATTGGGAAAGCCAGATTCATTTAACAACTGTGTAACTAACTTAAAAACTGCAGAGATCCACTTAACTTCTACAGTAGTGGCCAAAATTGTGGAAACCTTTTGGGAAAAGCGTACAGTAGAAATGCCACCTTTGGTTAAGTTTTCACCAATTTTTCTTCTAATTTCTTTATAACCGTAGCCTTGTTCACGTAATACTACTACTTTACATCACTTTCTGGGCAACCAGGCAACTCTTTGCACCATTACTTTAATTTTGTTACGTTTTACAAGCTGACTAAATGAAAGAACACAAAAAAACCCAAACAACTTGATAGCGATCACATAACATACTGACAAATGTCCTCCTCTCAGCTTCAATACACGACATCAATAACTGAATCCTACTGTGATCTGATTGGCTCATTGCCAAAACAAGATGACACCTGATTGGCTCTCTAAACACTCATGCTCATTGGCTACAATCAGATGAAGGAAAGCTACTGATATCAACCTAAGCAGTTGTGCTTCCTTTTTCTGGTTATTTGGCTATAACTCTTCATAGAATACAATACAGATAATTGAACAAACTATGTTGCATTACATTTTTGATTAAATTATCTTTCCATTGATATATAATTTTATGGTACTACTCCAAAAAAAAGTGATGTTATTAACCATCAAACCTCAAAAATACACTTTTCCCAAAAGGTTTCTACAATTTTGGCCACTACTGTGGTAAGAAAGGTTGTAAATGGAACAAAATTTAATTAACTATCTTGCTTAACAACAGAAATTTTGAGCTCATTTGTGGTCATAAATCGAGGACTACTTGTATAAACTCAGAATGGAAATTTCTTTGGCTTTAATTTTAAAGTTACCTAACCATGGGATTTTAACCACTTATTCCTACCCCTCTACCAAACCGTTGAATCTCAGTTGACTATTTTAGTGTTCCTAAAATTGTAGCATCTAATAATGAGAAGAAAGACAGTTTTGTAATACCAACTGATAAAAATACAGAAATTACTCTTCAACGTTAGCACTATGATATGAACAAGGACGAAGGAATTAGAATTTTACTAGAAGAGATACTATTAATTCAGAAGTTCGTAGTTAAATGTTAATGTACTACTTTGGCCCAGTTTCATAAAATTACTAAATTGAACCATGTAAAATGTTATTTGGCTGTTGCAGAATTTTGTATGTATTAAAATTAATAAGGTGCATGTATTATTTATACATTAAATGCTCTGTAAGAAATATGCACGAATAAGGACAGTGGTTAAGAAGACTTCATGAAGCCATTATAGATACTTATTTCTGAAATTAATTTCAGACTGAAAGAGCCTTTATTAGATAGAGTTAGAAATGGGGTACAGGTAATCCTTGACTTACAACCCAATTGAGCCCAAAATTTATGTTGTTAAGTGAGAATTTGTTAAATGAGTTTTGTCCCATTTTACCACATATCTGGCCACAGTTGTTAAGTGAATCACTGCAGTTGATAAGTTAATAATCTGGTTGTTAAGTGAATCTGACTTGCCCATTGTCTTTGCTTGTCAGAAGATTGCGAAAAGTGATCACATGACCCTGGGACACTGCAATGGTCATAAGTATGACCCAGTTGCCACGTGTCTGAATTTTGATCACATGATTACATGGGGATGCTGCAAAAGTTGTAACTGTGAAAAATGGTCATAAGTCACTTTTTTCAGTGCCACTGTAACTTTGAACGGTCACTAAATGAACTGTTGTAAGCCGAGGACTACCTGTACTCACAATAAGGAACACTACTCACTTTTCCTTCCATACTGAGGTATATGAGATTCAAGCATGAAATATCAAGTCAGATCATCTACGTCAGAGGTCCCCAACCTTTTGGGCACCAGGGACCGGTTCCGTGGAGAGAGATTTTTCCATGGACTCGAGGGTGCGTGGTTTTGTGTGCTACCTGCATTCTGCAGATGGGGTTTTGCTTGTTTGTGCGGACTGGTTGCTGGCATGCGGTGGCCCGGTACCGGTCCACGGACTGCGGGTTTGGGACTCCTGATCTAGACTAATGAAGATCTTTTGGATAGCAATAGTCTAAGATTTCAGCTTACTTTTAAACTGAAAATATCATGAACGTTTAAGTAAAGCAAAAAAATAAATAAAATAAAGCTAATACCTTTCTACAACTTTATTTTTGTTCTAAAAGAAAGGCAATGGGCAAAACATTTTAAATAGAAAAATTAGTCAAGTGAAAGAGTCTCTGTCCATTCCCCATGATCTTTTTTATTTAGACAGCATCATCCTATTGCTGCTTTCATTAACGAAAATCAGGGAAAGTAATGTGTGATTGCCCTGAATGATGACCCCTAGCTTAACTAATCACTGAAACAACCACATGAGATTTCACACTCATTACTTTGGTAAATAGCAATAAAGGGTATTAGAGACAGTTCATGGATTTTGAAAAGCTAGTCAACTTTAAACATCCAACAACTGGCCAATAATCCACCCTAACATTTCTCCTGGAATGTTCATGAATTAAGTATTTAGAACAAAAGTAATGTGATAAAAATGTAGCAAATTTTAGACAAGCAAACATTTACACGATTTTCTTCAAATTATAGAGAAGTTCAGACCTTTTCCTGATGTACCTCTCCCTTCTTTTATGAGAGAAATAATAAAAATGAAAAGCAAAATCTATTGTTGCTTGAATTTAACTTCCATTTCAAAAGAATGATGGGAATTTTTAACAGCTAAGCTTTTTCTTGCTTTCCAGCATTTACAATAAAACAATTTTGAGGCTATTCAGAATGTTAAAAAATAGCTTCATGGTAAACATGAAATATAATAGGCTTGCCTGGTTTCAGGATATATGAGGAAGGCATTTAGTTTCCGTGTATCATCACTGACTTTTAAAGAAGGTTTTCATAGCTCGGCCACATATAGCCAAATAGACACATTAAGTAATTGCCTAGTTGCATAGGTAATTAAGATATGGCAAGGGTACAACAATGGTTAGTCCGAGGAACTTATTAGTCCAATCTATTTCACAAGGTTGTTGGGATGAAACAAGATAGGTTAATAACACATTTTAAAAAATATTTCCTGCAACCTCAGGAATACTTCTGTGAAGATATTTCTCATTGCAACTAAATATGCTTTTTAAGAGTGCAATATAAAGCACAAACAATATATAATTTAGATAAACACTGAAAATAATTTTTCCATGCTATAGAAATGTTTAAAATAGAACACTGCTGATTCTTATTCACCACTCTATCAATTTATCGATCCATCCATCCATCAATCAATTGATCCATCCTTCCATCTAAAATAAATATACATTGACAGAAAGATGATAATTTATATGTTCCTTTGGATTATCCAAATACTTGCCTGGAATATATCCCACTGACAATGTCATTCTGAATGGACTCTTCTATTGACAAGTTGGGGCCAGCAGCCTTAGACACAAGTAAAACCACTAGGCCTCTCATCTGCAAATTGTTCCTGGTGTCAGACACAAAGCCTCTAGAAAAGAGAAAAAAAAATAAAAAATAAAATAAAATAAGTCTAAATAGTCTGTAGAATTCTTCTAAATTTACTTTTTGTCAAATGTGTTAGCTTCATAGAACATCAAGCATTACATTGTTCATATAATATTCCCAAATGGGGGCTTCAATGAATTATACAGGTAGTCCTTAACTTACATCCATTCATTTAGTGCCCATTCAAAGTTACAACAGCACAGTTATTTTCAGGGAACTCTGGGGGTTGAAAGGCTCTGGGGCCAGTAAGCTGCAAATTGCTTACTTTTGCAGTAAATGATATTGGGGGAAAAAGATGGCAAGGCACTTAAAGGTAATCCCAGATTTACAACCATTCCATTAGTGACTGTTCAACAGCACCGGAAAAAAGTGACTTATGACCATTTTTCACACTTACAACTGTTGCAAAATCCCCTTGGTCACATCAAAATTCGGGTGCTTGATAACTGGCATGTATTTATGACAGCTGCACCGTCCCGGGTCATGTGATCATCACTTGAAACCTTCTCAGCTGGCTCATGACAAGCAAAGGTAATAGAGAAAGCTAAATTCACTTAACAGTCGTAAGATTCACTTAACAACTGTGGCAAAAATGTTGTAAAATGGCATAAGTCACTTAACAACTGTCTTGCTTAGCAATGGAAATTTTGGGCTCCATTGTCACTGTAAGTTGAGGACTACCTGAATTTGAATAACCATTTGAATAGTGAGCAGATTATTTTGAACATGCTGAATGATGGTCATTTTTCGATCATGTAAAGATATTTTAAACGATGATTCAGGCCACTTTCTCAATGTTTCCCATTCTGAGAGCTCTAGCTTGCCAGGACTACTACTCCTAGAATTCCCAATTACTTTGACTATTGGCCATTATAGTTGAGCATTCTGGAATTCAGAGCTTTAAAACTTGGCCAACAATGTGCCAACAGAAACAAGTTATGCTTTAATTTTTAAAGTTTCTTTCAATTAAAAAAAACTAAATTGAAAATTAGTGTGCCAAAGCTAAGTGCCAGCCTCAAGCTGAACTGTTACTTCCAAGAATGCTTCTTGTCCCTCCATGTACACCAGAGGCCTTTGTAGAAAGTCAAAATGACCCAAGACTGAATCTCAGGATTTTATTGGAACTACACCTAAGTATATATTCAGAGAGCACTAAGCATTTGGGGTTGAATTCTGAAGGAGCTAATAACAATAACAATAGCAATAATAATAATAAAGTTGGAAGGGACCTTGGAGGTCATCAAGTCCAACCCCCTGCTCAGGCAGGAAACCCTACACCATTTCGGACAGATGGCTGTCCAGTCTCTTCTTAAAAACTTCCTGTGTTGGAGCATTCACCGCTTCTGGAGGCAGGTTGTTTCATTGGTTAATTGTTCTAACTGTCAGGAAGTTTCTCCTTAGTTCTAAGTTGCTTCTCTCCTTGATTAGTTATTTAGCTATACAAAACCAATTTCTTTCTGAGAGCTACAGATAATATTAGTGTTCATTACAATGCTGCAATAGTACAATAAAAGTAGCATAACCTAGCTAACTGGTTGGTTCCAAAAAAGCTAACCAGGATCAGTCATGGAGACTAACAGGAAGTCTCAGGGCTGTGAGCTAGATTGAAAAATTAAACAAAAATTCAAAAAAGCAATGACAAATTATTTTAATTATTGCCAAGAACACTATATAAACTTTGGAAATCTTTTATTTTTTGAAATAATCATGTTAAACTAGCCAAATGCAGCAGACTTTGTTGTCTTTAAACAGAAAAAAGAAAACTGAATAAAATGTGGTTCTCCCATATTTCCCCCATTTGACTGTTTATTAGAACTTCTTGATATATATTTGAACTTTGACTCATTGTATCTGTATTTAGTATTTCTCATTGTTACAAAACTACTAAAGCAACAGTTTGTGTATTAGAGGCATTATATTCAAAAGGTTTGTTTTATATAGCATATTCAGAAGGCTGTAAAAATGCAAATAACATTAATATACTATGGCATTAGAGACAGTACAGTTAAGCAGTTACCGTAACCCTGAAGGTATTTTGCAAGTTGTAACTGATTTAAATGAAATCAGTATTCAAACTAGGTGCTCAAAATTCTAAAGTTAGAAGAAAAGTTCTGTCTACACATCCATCTTCACTGAGATTGAATGAAAATGTAAATGAAGTCAATTACCATATGACAGAAAATGCATAAAAATAGAATATAGAGATAGAGAAGCACCAATCTCTGAAATATTTCATTTTTGTGAGAAAATAGCTAATTCATAGCAACTCCATGCAGAGAAATAGTGGACACTACTAAGCAAGAACATAGGCACAAATTCATATAATATCCATGCATATGATCTAAACCATCTAGTGTTCCCTATGATTATTTATGCTTCCTTTCCATATTTGAGCTAAGAATTAAACTTCTTTTCTAGCCCTCCAAAGTTATAAACAGACTTATATTAAAGACACGGACTCAGTCTTCGCTAAAGTTAATTGCAAGAGATTTGAAACAAATAAACCCTACGGTAATCCTCCTTTAGTAATCAGAAGCTGCGGCAATCACTTGAAATGGCTTCAGGGGTCATATTCACATTCTACCTGAATCCATGTCCCTAGAGATATTCAACCCATGTCACAGGTACATAAAAGTCTTCAAGATGGTGCAATTATTCTTGATGGGTATGTAGCAGAAGACAGGTTCCTCTAGGGGAAAAAGCAGCTGGAAGTAGCACAAATGGAACTGGGCACACACGCACAACTTAACATCAGAATCAGATTCCTTCCTAAAACCTTGGGCAAAATATTACCACAAGTATAAATATAAACTCACAAGATATAATGTAGCTAGCTTATTCTAGTTTATCCATCTTATTATTATTAAACACTATGCCTTCAGGCTAAATTGAATTAGACCTGCACAACTATCCACTGCAAATCCAGGTTTACAGAGCAATTAAACAACAGGAGGAAAACCACAATTACTCTCAATGCTATTCTTGAGACAAAAATAACTTTTTAAAATTAACAAATTGCTATGTAAATGCAGAACTCTTTTAAGTTCTTGACTTGCTATGAAGAGGGAAAGCCTAGCTTAGAAACAAGCACACTACTGAAGTGTGCTGATACAAAGACTCGCACCACCCACACATGCAGTAACACTGGATAATATTTTTTATGCTAAAAGAATTACACCTCCTACTACTGTCCATCTGTTTAAGAGAATAAATCAACCAAACATAAGCATTCTTATGAAAGCTCTGCATACAGTACTTCAACTTCCAATGTTCAGCTATTTCTCGTCTCAGCAGAGATAAGACATAAGCTTATAATTCCAGTGGTTTCTACTCATTGAAACATTTTTGGCAAAAAGAGGGGCAAACATTTAGGATTTGGAGGACAATTTTTATAAAGGCCATTCAACAATTACATTTTAGCGATCATATCCATAGATCAGCAGACAAATCAATGTACAGTGTAAAGGCTAAACACATACTTTTTAAAATTTTTAGAAGAATTCAAGGAAGAAATTGAAATATGATTAACAATTCACATCCACATTTAAAAAATACAACGTAACTTTAATGGCAGCATTTACAGAATACATTAAATTTGTGTTGCATGTGACAAGGAAAATAAAGTGAATAACTGCAAATTACATGCAACATATGCCTAAAAATATAGAGGGTATAAATGAATTTCTATGTCTTAGTGGAATGTTCATTAAAAATTAAGAAATTTTAAGACACACAAATGCTAGTAGAATAATACTCAGTAAGTACATAGTCTCTTATAAAGAATAAATATTGAAAAATGTGAAAATAGCTCTGTATAGATTGTCTCATAATTAACAAAGAGGGTAGTACAGAGTCAAGAGTCAGTAGAAACACAAAAATAAATTGAACATGGGAACTAAGTACTTAAGTGTATTGAAAAAAACATGAGAAGAAAGGATCAAGAATTAATGGATGCTGAATGACTGTGGACCGAAAACAACAGGGAGTGAACAGTATGAAAGAAATACACAGATAGAACTTGGTTATGTAGAAAGAATAAACTAGAAGTTGCAAAACAAATATACAAAGGAAAAGCAAATGAATTAAAGGGAAAGGAAAGACTGAGAAACAATGGTTGGGTTGAGATTATTTGTACCAGATATAAATGCACACACAGGAACTGTCAGGAACCTCTTATCCAAAACATATTTTCACAATGATTGTGAGAGAGAAGCTGCATAAGCCTAGTAAACGATGTGGCTACTTGAACTTGGATTTTTGGACAGCTCTCTAGTAGGTATCAGAGCTGTGCAAAGCATTTGAAAGAGTGATCTACAATTTCTATTAGCACATATAAAAAGCATCTCTTTTTGCACTGTTAAAGCAGTTGTGTCTTTCAGAAATTTTAAGTGGTGGCTTAGAAATTGCTCAGTTAATATATCTGTCACTTAAGATATCTCACTAAGAAATACTGTGAGACTCTACTATAGCTGAGTTACATCTGGTAGTTTCCAAAATTTAAACATTTTCAACCATTTTCACCTCTTATTTGAGTCAGATTATAATATGAAGCAGTCAGGAGCACAAGCATACATGATGCTTACTGAAGAAGGTCAAAGATAAAAAAAAAAAAGTAAACGTGTACAAAAAAAGCACCTATACAAAAAATCCAGTTTGTAAAATCCACATTATACTTTTAGTCTGTTACATAATCCCATCATCCATATATTATTGTGTACAAAAGCAGATGACAGTTTCAGTAACGAAAGTATTGTTTCCACAATATCAAGCAATTTATTAACTGTGAAGAAAGATTACATTTTTCACACAGTGTAAATATTGAACCCTTTACAGTTAATAATTTGTGGAAAAGTAACTTGAAAATTCTGATACATTTCCCATAGATGTGTTCATCCCTGAGAGAGCTCAAGATTTCAAAAGGTGAGACATTTAAGCAACTTGTGGTTTTGGAAATGTTCGTTTCCACAGCAACCAGCATCATTT